ACAGAGATATTTGCTCAGGGCTGCAGCGGGCAGGAGAGCTGGGCTTCAAACCCAGGTTTGTGGTTTCAGAGCTTCCAAGGCCCTACCTAGACCACTCTGTGCACTTGAGCACCAGTGCTGCTCTGAGGGAGGCAGGTTAGTGTCAGGTTAGGCCTTAGCCCACAGGATGTTCAAAGACTTGCTGTCTCCAGGTCACAAGGAAAGGGAACCCATGCCTGTTCCCATTCCCTTCCACTGAGGCAGGTTGCTGTTTGTGCTTTGTGAAGCTGTTGTGGAAGCCACATCTGTTTCCCTGTGACAGCCAGGTGTGATTCCTAACTGCCCCTGCTGTGGCCTCTCTACCTTGGCACCTCACTGAGGGCCTCCTACCCTGCCAACTGGCTCTAGGTGTCTCCCCAGTCTCTTCCACTGCTGTGGCATGGTTTCTTTTTCTCCTTCATCCTGGACAGTGCTCAAACACTGACCCTGCCTTGGTTTATTGTAGCTGCACCTTGTGGGGCCTCCCATGCCCAGTTGTAGGTTGAGAAGGCAGATCACAGAGGCTGAAGTGAGCAGGGCATCTGGGCCTACTATCCCCTGATGTGAGGGCAGGAAGGGATGTTGAGAGCAGTTCCGTTTGGGAGTCAGGCCTCCTCCCAGAAGGAACTACTTTATTGTTTATTGCTGGGATCAATCTTTATCTGGAGCCCAGCTCAGCCGCACAGCGTCCTGGCCTAGTGCATGAGGTCTCTCTCCATGGCTTCCATTCTGTGCCCCTTTCCCCCTCCAGGCTCCTGCATGTACCCTGGGCTCCCCTGCCTTGGGTGTGAGTTTCTTAGGAATTGAGGAGGAATATCAAGGCCAAGAGGCCAGGCTCAGTGCCCACTCCCTCCCCTTTTTGGGAAGGATTGGGTGCACAGCCTGTAGTGTATGGAGGGTGTGGTAAGCTGCCAGACCCTCCCAAGACTCCCATCTTCTTGTGCTCTGTCCTTCTGTTGTTGCTTTGGCCTTGTAACACTGGTTGAAGCTGTGCCAGGCCCAGGCCTCGGTGCTGCATGTTGGGAAGGGTAGGTTAAGTGGCAGGGCTCTTTACAGAGGGCACCTTCTTGGCCTTCTGAAACTGGTCTTTATGGCCTCCCTGACTTTGAGGGAGGGCCAGTGCTCCTGGTCCTGCCCTATCCACTGAGGAGGCAAAGGGGGCTAGATCTCTGGAAAGCAAACAGAGTTTGGAGGGGTCTGCAGGCTTTGGGGTGTGCTGCTTTCTGGCTGTTCACCCCTTACCTTGATGGGGCTTATGAGCTAAGGTCTGAGCACTGGGATGGGCTGGGGTAGGTTTTCCAGCAGGTGGACTTCAACAAACGACCCGGCCGCATGAGCTCCAGGCCCATCAACTTCTCTGTAGTCCTGAAACTATCGAATGTCAACTTGCAGGAAAAAGCATACCGGGTGAGTTGCCCTCTAAGTCTCTGTAGATGGGCCTAGGGCTGTGCTGCATTGAGGTCACAGCAGGACCTCAGAGGGCATTGAGGTGGATGCGAGGGTCCTGCCATCCTATGGTGTTTGGGTTCCGTGGGTTGGAGACCAGTGGATTCATAGTTCCAGCCCCCATGAGCCTGAGTGTGGCTGGGAGGCTGTGGACACTTCCTTGTGGCCCCCACCCTGGACCTGGAGCAGACTCATCAGCCTGAGTTGGAGGACTCTGAGCATCTGGGCCCCACCCCCTGATGAGCTTGGTCCTTCCCTGCTGCCTCAGGATGGCCTAGTGGAGCAGCTGTATGACCTCATGCTGGAGTACCTGCAGGGCCAGGCCCACAGTATTGCCTTCCCTGAATTGGCACTGCCTGCCGTCTTACAGGTGTGTACCCAATGGTTGGCTCCCTCCCCAAATTCCCTGGGGGCTTGCTTTATGATGGACTTCGATTATCCTTTAATGGACACAGTGCCCTTTGTACACAGGGACTGAAAGGAGGTGTCTTTGTCCCAGCTTCACAGGGCTAGTAGCAGAGCCTGATCCTTTATAGTCTCCACACAGGCACCGCCTTGCAGCTGGACCCCTTGGACCACAATGTGTGGTACTGGTCATGGGGGTGTAGGAGATTATCAGTCACTCAGGAGGTTGGGACAGGTCTGGATGGCTCACCAAGGATCCTAGCAACATGTTGGTCCATTGAAAGGCTGTCTAAGCCTTCCAGGGACCAGACCAGCCGCCTGCAGAAGTCTTTACACTGGGGTGGGCTGGTCCCTGACTGATTTCCTGTGTGGTCCTGGGGCTGGGGTGGGGGTTTCTCTCTGCTTCTCCCATGAGAGTATGGCTCTCTGCCTGCTGTTCCCTGTCTCAGGCCTGTACCTCTCATGGGGGAGGGTCAGTGCTGCTGCTCACAACTGAGCTGCATCTGAGGCCCATCCAGACAGGTTGTGTGTGTGTGTGTGTGTGCGCGCGCAAGGCTGCAGTCATATATAGTTGTGCGCACATGCATAGTCACTTGCTGTCCTTTGGCACTTGGCAGTGGCCTGGGTCCCAGATAGGAGTGCCTGGCAGTCAGGAAGCTTCTGCTGCTGGATTCAAAGGTCTCAGGGATAGGGGACTAGAGTAGGGGTAAACAGATATTTTCAATAAGTGTTCTTGGATTTATGGTCGCATGGTTTCTCAGTTTGGCTACTGGCCTTTGGCCACAGTACAGAAGCAGCCACAGAAAGCCCATTGCATGTGAGGGAATGAGTGCAGCTGTTGCCAGAAGAGCTTTATTTACAGAGATGGGCAGGCTGGAGAGCAGCCTGATTTCATCTGTGGCCCACTGTCCACTTGTGTGCACGTGGGCTCTGGACCTCCCTGGAGTCGCCATGAGGTTTTGATGGGCCCTGGACTTCCTTTGGGGTGCAGGGTAGCCTGTCTGCCTGCTGGGTTGACTGACCCCCCACTTCTGCAGCTCAAGTCCTTCCTCCGGGAGTGCAAGGTGGCCAACTACTGCCGGCAGATGCGCCAGTTGTTGGAAAAGGTGCAGGAGAATGCAGAGCACATCCGCAGTCACCGCCAGAGGGTCTCTTTTGGTGTCTCTGACCAGCTTGCAGTGGTCAGTAGGGAACTGGTATCTGGAGTGGGGGTGGTGCTGCTTGAGGGCACTCGTCAGGGAATGGCTGGGTTTGAGGTTTGCCCATAGTGGGACATGACTCTGAACTGCCCCACCCCTAGGATGCTTGGGAGAAGCAGGCCCGAGAAGAGGGGACCCCACTCACCAGGTACTATAGCCACTGGCGGAAGCTGAGGGACCGCGAGATACAGCTGGAGATCAGTGGCAAAGAGCGGGTACATCTGGGGTGCCAAGGGAGTGGGTGGGTCAGCTAGATTCAGATCTTGCACATTGGCATGACTTTTAGGACCAGGCAGAGATTTGATGGGGATGACTTTGGTGGTGGTGTGGGTGGGGCATGAGAGGACTATGGCTGTTTGAGGAGGTGGTGATCCTATGGGGTGGTGTCAGGAGTTGTCACAACCAGGCATCTCCCAAGGGTAGGGGCCTTGGGGGGAATGGAGTGGCTACACATACTTGTCACACAAGCCAGCCTGTGGACCCCAGGAAGGCAGGTAGAAGAGGCAAGAAGGGCTTTAGCTTTTGACCCTGGGCATGGCTGTGGCTATGAGTTGGGGTGACTTGAGAGACTGCTTCTTGGAGTAGCATGCCACCAAGGTGCTGGCTGTCCTGGGAGGGATGCTACGGATGTGGGAGCAGAAAGGTTGCCAAGTAGCAAGTGGCCAGGCAGGGTGCTCCTGAGGGCTGCTGGAGGTTTACGAGGGAAATAGTGTTGGCCTCTCTGAACCCCGTGTCCATGCCTACCTACTCCTCTGGTTCTGATTATTCCAGCTAGAAGATCTGAACTTCCCAGAGATCAAACGGCGGAAGATAGAGGACAGGAAGGATGAGGACAGGAAGGAATTTAAAGACCTCTTTGACCTGGACAGTACTGAGGATGAGGAGACCACAGACTTTTGGGAGAGAGGTGGGGGCTGCCCCTGCTGTAGCATGTGCTCCTGGAGATGGGGAGGGTGTGGATGGCTATGGGACCTCACAGCCAGAGGGGTCCCCACCTCAGTGTTTTCTGTGCTGATTGCTAAGCATCCCTACTACTAACTATTCTGTTTGATCTTCCACCTCCAAGTGGAGAGAAGGGTGGTCCTCTTGCTTGCGGCTTACCCTCCTGTGGACCTCTGCTGGTGGTCGCTGGGTGGGGGGCTCATCATGGACTCTTCTCGGTTCACAGAAACACCTGGGTCCCTGAGAACTCGGCAGGGGCTCAAAGCGGAAGAAGATGACAACGACTACCAGGATGAGGAGGATAGCAGCAACTCAGAAGGTGAGTGGTTCTTGGGGCAAGGGATCTATCTGGTCCTTAATCCCATCTGGCAACAGAGCCATGGGAGGGCAACGCCAAGCCCGGCCCACTCCTCCCTGGGGTGCCCAGCCAGCTGCTCTGTTCTCATGGGCTCTAGCAGCCAGCTTATAGTGCACCAATAAATTAATTAATGCTGTGATTAATTAGTGATGATTAACCTCCAAGACTGGCTTCCTCCTGATAAGCAGAATTTATGTAGCCTTTTCTCTCCTTGCAGATGGAGGCCCAGACGCAGAGGCGGGGCTGGACCCTGGTGAGCTGTGGCAGCTGGCCCAGGGGCCCCAGGATGAGCTAGAGGATCTGCAGCTCTCGGAGGAGGACTAAGGGTCTCCTGCAGTGCCCCAAAGGCCCTGAGGCCAGTGTCTGTGCAGCAGGAGGGCAGTAGACAGTGGACAGGGCTTTATTGTCACAGCACGACAGACCAGATGAACCAAGAGCTGTGCTGACCTGGGCAGCAAGAGCCAGCCCTATGCAGGAGGCTGGTCCTGCTGCCAGGTCACAGCAGCCTGCTCCAGAGAGGTGGCTCCCTGGTTCCTCTACTCCTTTGTCTTTGGTTTGTCTGTGGACCTCTGCATTCACTCCCAGAAAGTCTTTGAAAACTCATTCAGTCCTTTTAAGTCATTTTTTTCCTTTTAAAAATTCTTGGTGTTTTTGCATCCAAAACTGAAAGGGAGAAAGCTGTGGGGGAGGGACCACTGCATCCTGTGCTGGGACTGTGGGCAGCCTGCTGGCCAACTCAACACAGAGACTGGGTGGCATCTGGGGCCCCTGGGAGTATTGCTGCTGTTCCATTCTCTGGCTTGGGTGAGGCTCGGCTAGTGGGTGGATGGCTCCCCCCATAGGGGGAGTTGGCTGTTGGTGGGGACAGGGGCTGCTCTCTGGAGGTAAGCTCCTGTTCAGGAGCCTGCAGGGTTGGCGGCTGCAGCGGCAGAGCCACAGGGAAGCTGGCCATGTAGAAAACTCGGCCCAGGCGCTTGGCCACCTATAAAGAAAAGCCTGGATGGGTGCCTGCCAAGGACATTGGGTGATTTCAAAGAGCCTTTATGCCCTCTGCCCACTGTCCATGCTTACCTGAGCCCGGATCTTGAGGGCAGGCCCCAGCTTCAGCCCCATAGTCGTCAGCAGGTGCTCCTCTGTCAGCAGGGGCAAGGTCTCCCCATCAATTCCTTGTTCTCTGAACACCTAGAGCAGGGATAGGGTCAGGCCTATCAGTCCCGCCCAGCAAAGGCCCAGAGAGCAGCCAGGGAGAGTAAGCAGCTTGTGTAGCTTTCAGGGAGTGGTCAAATGAAGGCCCCTTTTGCTTTGGGCAGGGGCCAGCAGGAGCAGGTGGGGCTGAGGGGTGTAGGGAAGGGAGAGGAGGGCAAGTGACGGGCCCGCTGTGCGCCCAGGACAGCTCTGCCTCACCGGAGCATACTCTCTACAGCCAGACAGGCCCCCAATGAAGCTGCAGACATCATCCACAGTCCACTTGCTGATGTCCTCAGGGGATGTGGCCGCCTCCCCATCAGTGAAGAGTCCCCCCACGGTGCCTAGGTGTGAGTGGGTGTCACTAGGGCTTTGTCCCTCCCATCCCATATCCCCACCGGTCTGCTGACCTTTGCTTGCCTTAGTTGCTTAGAGACATGCAATCCGTGACTTAAGGTTTTTCTGCCTGTGGAGGCCCTGCACCCCCTCCCCGTGCAAGACCTCCAAGGGTGGCTGGCCTGGGTCTCCACACCCACCTGTGTGGAAGTATGGGCTGACCGAGTAGGGGAAGCCCAGGGACAGTGGAGGGGGCAGGGTGGACCCCGAAAGAAGCCCCTTTCCCTCAGTGCTGGTCCCTCCTAGGGCTTGACCTGGGGTGGAGCCCCGGCCCCCTGTCGGTGCTATCTCCAGGTCCTCTCCGATATCTGAGTCCTTGGGGGGCTCTTGTGAGACATCTTGAGCCCAGAGCCCAGATGCTGTTGTCTCCTTGGATTCGCTGGGCCGAACTGAGGCAGAACTAGGGCCCCCCTTGCGCGGTGCTCTGCCAGCAGGCTCCCGGGGCGAGGTTGGAGGCTCCGGACCAGAGACACCCTGTGAAGGCAGGGCCAGAAGCGGCGCGGAGCTATGTTTCAGCACCAGCATGGCCCCGCGCCTCTGTAGCTCCTCTGTACTGTCTGGGGCCCGCAGGGCCGCTTCAGGCGCCAGCAGCTGTGGCCGGTGTGTGTTCTCCAGCTCTTTCTGGCGAAGCAGCTCCGCGGACATCTCTAGCCTAGGCCAGGAGTAGTAGGATCAGCTTGAGCGCTAGTGCCACCCACCTCCCCTCCCGGCTTTGGCCGCACCTACCGGGCCAAGTTCTGTTTACGCAGGAGCTCCTGCTGCCGGGCGAGCATCTCCGCCTGGGCGGGGGGCAGGAAGCTGTACCCTGGGGAAAAGGGACAGACCAGGGCCAAGTGGTCAAATGGTGCTGGCCTGATGAATTGGCCCTCTGCACCACCTTGGTCGGTCCTCGACATTAATGGGCGTCCTTACAGGACTAGTTTCAAGGAGCGTGCCCATAGGACATAAAAGACGTGCACACCTGCCTATTCCTTACCTGGAGTCTGGCACAGAGCCGATGGCACCCCCAAGAAAGGGGGCCTGAAATGGGAGCCCAGGGCGATGTGGGGGGCATTCTGGGGCGACAGCAAAGGGGGCGGCTGCGACAGCTCCCTGCGAAAGGCAGGACTGAGGGGCGTGCGTGGCTTGCCCGGCCCCCTCCGCGCCCCGGATTCCCGTAACCACCTCCAAGCGCATCCCCGTCGCCGCTAATTGCTGGCCCTGCGGGCGGTCGATGTGCCGCTCGTTATGGCTCTGGGTCGAGCGCTGCCCCCGCTCTCGCCCCCGCCGGCGGCGCCAATTAATCTCGGAGGAGGCGCTGACCCGGCGGGCCGTGGCGACTGCAGCGGTAATTACCGCGCGCGGCCCATCCTCCCCACCTCCTCCCCATAGCGGCCCCGCGCTGCCGGGGGCACGAAGCGTAATTAGCCGCAATCCGGAGGCGGCGGCAGCTGCAGACGCCGCGCTCGGCGGTGGGGGGCGGTGCGCCCGCTGCGGGGGCCCCATCCCTGAGCGCTTCCCTGCTGTCTACAGGTCGCCCCCTGTCCCCGCCCGCCCGGGAGGCCGTCTCCCCAGACCGCTAGTGTGTCTGAACTGGCGAAGCGGGCTTCCCTCCTCCCCCAGTTCTAGTCCTCTGGCCGACCCCTCCCGACTTACTTTGGGCTGGGTTTCCAGACTTCCAGCCGATCTGCCTTCTGCTCCCCCAACCTCACCCCCCTCACTGTCCCAGGGGCACCTGGATTTTGCTGGTTCCCAGTTGCTCAACAAAGAAACAAGAGTGACCCTTCACATTCCTGCCCAGGGTTGTTGGCACCCCAGTACATACTGCCCAGGAAATGTTTTCCTGGGCCTCTGCCCAGCTCAGGCGGCCTCAGGAACTTTTTGCCCAACAGACCCTAAACCCAAAACAGGCAATACCCACATGACTGTGCAGCTGCAATCGGGGAGGAGTAAGTGGGTGGAAGGTTCAGGCTATGGGGCCTGCAGAAGTCAGATACCAAGCCCCAGTACCTCTCTGAGAAGGACGGGGCAACAGCTGGAGCCGTGTTCTCCCGGTGCTGAGCCAGGCTCTGCTTCCGGCGCTGACCTGCTGTGGATGAGGGCAGGTGAACTTCCAGGCCACTGGGACTCCTCAGAGCTGCAGCTGCTACCTCCTGCCGGACCCTCAGGAGATCTGGGGGGTGTGGGAGGGTAGGGGATGGGCAACAGCAGCGACCCTGAGGCCCAGCTTTCCCTGGACTTCTCCCCTCATCCTAGTGAGCACAGGACACTGGCCCAGGGGAGCCCAGGAGAAAGGGAACCAGGGGCCCACTTCCACACCATCCCTGCTGTGTGCCAGCCCCGATGTCAGTCACTGGGGCAGGAGGAGCAGCCCCAGGGCAGGGGAGACAGGTTTGCAGGAGGACCTGGAAGGAACGTGAGGTGGCAGGAAAGCCCAGTGCTGGTATGCAAGGCTGTGGAACCTGAGGCTGGAGCCTGGAGGGGAGGGACTGTGCACGGATCCATGAGAGCATGGACCAGTTCCTGGAGATCACTGTGACAAGTCTAGGAGTGGGTCTCCAGACTCCACCAGGTGACCGCCTCCTAGATGGGAGGCAGGAAACTGAACCTGTACACGTGGCCACACCAGCATACGCCAACATCCGTCCACATCGGTCATCCAGCAGTGGTTGCATAGGGTCAGCATCCAGCAAGACCACACCAGGCCCATGCATACGCGTCCTTGCGGGCACACCGGCCACAATCTCTGGACGCCGGGACGTGCAGTGGTTTGATGCACTGTGCTCCTGCCCAGGGCCCGGCCTCCGAGTCCCCGCCACCCCCCTTTGCGTAGCTTTGCCGCTGAGCCGCCGCCTCTGTTTATAAATTAATTACCCGAAAAGCGGAGGTGGGTCTGCCCTGGGCTGGGTGCCAGCCCGCAGAGCCTAGCCGGCGCGGCCGCCCGCGTCGATCCCAGCGGGGCCCGCACCCCCGCCCTCCAGCCCGCGGTCGCAGCTATTTGCAGCCGGCTCCTAGGCTGGGCGGTGCGCACAGTGATTGACAGCAGCTCCCTGGCGGCCGCGACCACGCTCCCTCCCCCACATAGGCCAGCAGAGCCGGCCCCAGGCAGGGCAGGGAAAGCAATTAAAAGGGAAGATTTTTAAATTATTAACATTTGGTGAATTATTCAGACTCTTGGTGGCTAAGCCGCCCTGGGGGACGGTGCCTTGTGCAAGGAGAGGAAATCCTGCCCCATTCACCGTACCCCATCCACCTCCTACCATAAAAGCCAAGTTTACCTAGCAGGAGCCTAGCCTGTGAGGCTAGAGTGCAGGTGGACAGGTATCTGACTGCTCCCTGGGCTATGACCACAAGGGACAGAGCAGACCCAGTGAGTGGAGAGGGGCAAGAGCCTCATCCCAGCCTCCAGCTGGGCCTCTCTTGGCATCCAGGAGGCCATGGTGGCCAAACACAGCTGCCTCTTAGTCCTGTCTTTCCGGGATGCTTGCCCCCCATGCAGGACAAGGATCTGGCACTATTTCAGTGTGACCACAGGTCAGCGTCCACTGACTTAAATTTGTGCACCAACTGCTGTGGGAGTCAGGAGAATGGGCACAGACCACAGGGTCTCCTGGATAGGGGGCAGGTAGGCTTAGTCAAGCCCCTACCCCTTCCTCTCACCTGGACTCACCCCTGAGTAAGCTGTGTGCATGCCTGGAGGGGATCCTGAGAATGTGATGAAAAGTGGGGACTTGGAACAAGACCTGGGGCAGCCAGGCCTCATCGCCTACCCACAAAGGGCTGGGGGTCACTGTCAGATCCAATCCCGGTCTTGATGTCAGCAGCCAACACCCTCTTCTGGGGTGGAGAGGCAACTGAGAGTGTACACAGGTGTGTGGGGGGGGGGGCAGGTGGGGAGGGCACATACCATGGCTGGGGAGGCCCAGGTGGTAGAGACGCTGTGGTTCCTCGAAGCTGCCAGCCTCACTGAGAGCGGAAACCAGCCGGCGGTAGTGGTCCTCAGGCGCCATGCTGGGTCTCAGCTCTGGCAGCAGCAGAGTCTCTGCGTTGGGGTAGCACATAGGGAGGGGATTTTCCTTGAAATACTACCAAGGCGGAGAGGCAAGTCGGGAAGGCACACCTCACCCTAAGCCTAAGACCTTCCACCCCTGCTGCGAAACCCAAGTCCCTCCTCTGTGCACACCTGCCCCTTTTGGAAGGTCTAACAACACTTCCAAGCACTCAGTTACTGCTTCCTCCTCCAGTGACCTGTCCCTCCTCCCTGGGTTGGGCTCCCACCTCGAGGGTACTCAGACTCAGACTCGCTTCGGGCCTTCTTCTCTGAAGAGCAGTCACTGGTGACGTGCGGGGAGCAGCCCAGTCTCTTGCCTAGCAAGCCACCTGCAGAGGGTGGAGTGAGCCACACCCAGTCTCAGGGACTGGAGGAGGATGCAGGGAAGACCAGGTGGGGAAGACCCACCCCTGCCCCAGCTCAGTCTAGTGAGCCCCAGTCCCCTCCACTCAGGAGCATCCTTGGTTCTGGGGGGGCAAGGCCTTGCCAGCCCTGGGTCCCAGGCTTCCACCTGGTGAGCCCAGCTGGCCGGAGGACATCATGACAGGTATGGAGCAAGGCAAGGAAAGAGGGCAGCCCTGACCCTGGGCCCCAGGCTGCATTTGAATAGAAGTGATGGGTGTGACACGTGACTGTGACTGTGTCCCCACGGGCCTCTTGCTGCCCCTGACCAGCCAGTCCATTCCCATGTGTGCTAATGAGCCCACCTCAGCTTCTCCTGGAGAACAGAACTACCTTCCCTTTCTGAGCTGGGCTGGGGTGGGCTATGCAGGTGCTGGGGAGGAGAGTCAGTCAGGAAGGCACATGTCACTCCCCACACAAGGGGTGTGCTCAGTGGGGCCCTCCTCTCTGCACCCAAAGCCAAGACCCTTCTCTTTGCTGCACTTAGCCTTGGCAAGCACATACCTGCCCAGCCAGGCTCTGTGCTCCAAAGGTCACCCCTGGACAGCTCACCTGCCCTACACAGACCCTATGTGCCTTGCTCCTGGTCTGCCTATTCCTATACTATCCCCTCTAGAGATCACATCTCCACATCAAAAGCTACACACAGGGCTGGGGATATAGCTCAGTTGGTAGAGTGCTTGCCTCACATGTGAGAAGCCCTGGGTTCAATCCCCAGTACCATAAAAATTGAATAAAAATAAAAGCCACACACATCTACAGGTCCATCTCCAAACTTGTCCCTGCACCCCCAAGTTCTGCTTCCTCCTGAGGACCCTGACATCAGGGGGCCCTGCTGATAGCATGTCATCATCCTGGCCTCCAGGTCAGACCCTATTGCCTCTGGCATCTCTTCCTCCTCACAAGACCCAGGGTGGCGGGGATGAGGGGCTGCTCCTTGTGTAACTCAAGCCTTTCATGACACCTTGGTACTTGGGGGTCCCAAACCTGTGCCCCCAGGAAGCCCTGCTGTCAGCTCAGGAGCCTAATTCCTTTTCCTTATTCCTTTAATCTGTCATTTTTATCAGGCTAGGGAAGTGCGGCGGCAGCAAGAGCACCGATCAATCTCCACATTACAGCTGACAGAATGGTGCTAATAACTTATTGATCTCAGCCACCTCACTGCCACTGGTCTAGCTGGCTGGCCCCAGGCCCTGCCCCAAAGACAGGGGACAGTCCCCACTGCCTGCATGAGGGGTCAGGTCAGACAGACCCTGTAGGACAGATGGAGGGCACTCAGGTGCACATGGGCATCATGAGCTGCATGTCAGAGTCCAGCAAGCAGGAGGGCACTCTGAGCGCACCAGGCAGGGAGTGGGTCTTGCAGCCTGTCTCCACACCTGCTGCCCATCTCCTGCTCCCTGTACATGCTCAGGGGTCAGCAGGGGTAACCTCTGCAGTCTGCTCCCTGTTTCAACAGTGGCAACTCCCGCCTGCCTCCTTGCTGGGCTTCTCTGCTCCTGGGGAGCTTGAGAGTCACAGCTTGGGGGAGGTGATACTGGGGTTGGAGTGCCCCACAGTGAGACCCAGCCTTGTAGCTGCCTTGAGGAGACTGCATAAGCTCAGAGTCACAGCTGATGTAGGCAGTGACAGGAGGCAGACACACGTACCAGGGGTGGACCACAAAGTCACAAGACCTGCGCTGAGCTCCTCAGTCCTCTGGGATCCTTCCTGTCTAGGGCCCAGGAAGCTGTGGCTCGAGGGACAGCCCCTTGAGCCACAGGAAGGAAGAAGAGTTGGTGACAGGTAAAGACCCCTGCAGGGCCCAGAGGAAGCCCACTGGGAGCTGCAGACCTGGCAGGCGCGCGCACGCGCACACACACACACACAGCATCCTGGCAGCTGTGCACAGCATGTGACCTGCACTCACTGTACCTGGCAGGGTGAGTAAGGCCTGCAGCAGACACGCAGGGCACACGCAGGCCTGTGTACCTGAGGAGGTTGTACATAGGCAGGGGAGGGCCTGCTGCCTCAGAACATCTCAATCACTGAGGGGCTCCCTCGGCTCCGCCCGATCGATGGGGCAATTAGATTTTATCAGCCTCTTGCTCAGCCACCTCCAAAGCAGCTCCAGAAGCAACCCCCACCCCCATCCACAAAGGCCTTCTGGGCTCATGGGGACTCTGTTGGGAGTATCCAGGGTGGTGGGTGATGCCCACCCTGCTTTCCCAAAGCAGTAGCCATTGTCAGAAACAACCCTGTCCAGGGTCCGTGTGACAAGGCCCCTGAGGTCAAGTTGTGCCCACTCTCAGCGGTGGCATCTTGCAACCCCTCATGACCTGCTCCTTGGGAGACTGCCTTGGTCCCCAAGCTGCTCTCTCCCTCTGAGTTCCTGTTGCCTCCAGGAACCAGATCTCCTTGGTGGCCCTGGAAGCTCCTGGGCCAGCACCCTCTTGGCCTACCTGAAGAGGTCCAGGCTGCAGGGGATGGGCCCTTTCCCTCCCAGGACGCCTGAGAAGCAGGACAAGGCCACCATGCCCTGTGGGTTTGGTGGGAGGTGGGCATTGTTTCTGAGCTCTGGAAGGTCTTTGCCTGTGCCTGTCTTGTGAGGAGGGGGTGGCTGGCCTCGAAACTCCAAGCCCACCCCAGCAGCAGCCACACTGGAGCCGCCCTCTGCCGCCAGTCTGCCTGACTGGCTGGGATTAACACAATTACCATCACATGGAGCCCCAGGGGACAGCCGGCCTCACACCTCCCGCCTCCTCTGCTGGCCTCCCTGGCTGCCCGCCAAGACTTCCAGAGCTGCTGAACAGACACAGGGAGGGTGGCTGTCCCTAGGCAGAGCTGCTGTGGCCCTGGCAGCCCCATCATCGCCCTCAGGACCCATGGGCCTCCTCACCTGTGGGTCCCAAGCCAACCTCCACACTGCCTCTCTGGAACTCACAGCGGCTCTGGTGCTCGGGCATAACGAGGTGGCGGCTTCGGTGCACACTGGATATGAGTGTGGGAAGGTCACTGTCCTGGCTGCAGCAGAGCAAGACAGAGGATGGAGCCATGAGCCTTGGCAGTGCAACCTGATGAGCATGAGTACAGGGTGCTTGGGGCTGAGGACAGCGTGCACTGAGCGTGCTGATGTGTGTGCAGACCTCTGTGGGCTTGGGATGCCACACCTCTGCACCCTCACCAGGCAGGCCAAGAGAAAGCAGAGACATGGCACCTGGACCCCACTACAGCACCCAGCTGGTCTGTGCCGAGCCAGAGCAGCCCCTCCTCTCTCCAAAGAGGCAGCGCTGTGCTCGGCTCCCTGCCTCAGAGGGAGGACGGGACGGCCCTGCTGTCTCACGGGACAGGCACATAGAGAGCACACTGTCACCCATGTGCTGCCAGCTCTGAAGCAAGCACCTGGCACATGCCACTTTGGTTAAAACTTGCAACACCCTCTTGGGGCCCTCATTTCTCCAAATAAGGAAACTGAGGTTCAGACCAAAGTCCCGTAGGTAAAAAGACTCTGCCCTGGCATGGTACCTGTGGCCCCAGGAGATGCACTGGCCGGCTCAGGACACCTGTGATCCCCAGGGTGCACCCAGGCCTGGCCTTGGAATAACCCTGCATGTGATTCTTTGTCCCTTCTCCCTCCTGCTGAGCCCTCACCCACAACCCCAGAGAGAAGAGGGAGGAGAAAGTGGGGCACCCCTGGGGTTATGTGAGCAACCCCATCATCAACAAAGAAGGAGGGGACAGGAAGTCAAGGCCAAATAGAGCAGGGGCAGGGAAGCCCAGTGCCCCAGCAATGCCCTCCCGGCCCACCTGTGGTGGAGCAGCCTCTTCAGCAGCACTGACACTAGCAGAGCCTCCTCACAGTGACCTAGGAACCGACCCTGAACCTTATTAAATAGCCCCCAGCCTCCAGCCCGGGCTGGCAGGAGCCAGGCTAATCCAGGGCCAGGCCCTAAGCAGATCAGTTTCAGCACCAGATACCCCGGGGCGGCCCCAGAGCCCCTAAGAGACCCAGATGTAGGTTCTCCCCCACCCCCCGTGAAGGCGGGAGGCAGGTGGGGAGTAAGTACTTTATGGGATTAATCTCACGAGGCTCATCCCCCATCATCCTCACTGATGGGGGCTGTTGGACAGAACTGCTGTCCTCAGCATGGGGAAAGGGCCTGGGCTGGCCGGGTACAGGGCTGCAGCTGCTGTGGAGCTTCTCCCCGCAGCGCACCGGACACTTCCTGCTTCCAGGGACTGGAGAGGTGAGCACAGTAATCTCCTGTGAGCCCTGGCCTGGACCCCCAGCAGCACCTGCATCTGGGACCAGCCTCAATGACAGCTAGCGGCTCTGTCTCACTTGGGGGTTACCCGGGCTCTCGAGGTGCAGGCCCATGGGGGCAACCCTTGGCTAGACAGGACCTGCCCTTGCATTCCACACCCAAGTCCCTGCCTTGGGGGTTCGTTCCTCAGGTCCCAAGATGGGCCAGTCCTGAAAACCTGTTCTGGTCACTCAGTTACTCACTGAACAAATTATGCTGGGTTCATTAAAAAAAAAAAAAAAAAAAAAATGCCAAGAGACTCACACACAGGCTGGAGAGTTGAGAGCTCCGCACCTGTCTTCACAGTATGGGGCCACTACACACAGGCAAGGCCTCAGCAGGCTGCTGTGGCACGTGGGGAAGAGACTGGGGCAGGGTCAGGAAGACTGCAGGGAGGGTTGTGAGGAGGCCAGGAGAAGGGCGAGACCCGACTCCCCCCTGAGGGCCTCCCCACCCCAACTCTCTCATGTAGCCTTTGCCAGCTGGGGGCCCTAGAAAGTCAGGGGCCTAGAAGGCCCTTCTTGCAAGCAATGCTGCAGGGGCATCACAGGGCAGAGGGGCCCTGGGCCTCTACTTGCAGCCAGCAGCAGGCATCCCCAGCAGGACTGGTCAGAAGGACGAAGAGGACAGACAGATGCAAGAGGCAGACAGACCAGTGAAGAGTGACAGACGAATGGGGATGGACAGACAGTTGGGATGGGACAAAGACAGTTGGTGACCCAGTGTGAGGCAGCTGGTGGTCCACAGCCCTCCTTGTCCAGACACTGGGGGCTGTTAGCAGACGGGAAATGATGGGCTGTTAGTCCTCTGGGGTGTGCTCTTCTCCAGAACTGTAACCTTCCCTTTAATGAAATCCAGAAAGTCATCCTTGCCCCTCTGGATCCTCTGTGGGACCAGGGTCTCCACTAACGCAGGCCTGGCTTCCTCCCGGGCACAGCCCAGGCTGCAGCAGCCAGTACTGGTGAGAGCCCAGCACGGGACTCCCGGGCCTCCCCGCACCCCAAGGCCAGGTGTACCCCAAGGGGGTGCAGGTCCGGAGGGGAGGCACAGCCATTGGGTTTCCCTGCAGGCCTTGCTGGCAGATTTATCCTGTAGCGTCCAGAGTAAAAGGCTCATAAAATGTCATCAATGTTCATGACGGTTCATAAAAATGATCAGTTGAGCTGGCAACTCCAAAATGAGGTGGAAATAAGTTTAAAGATGTTTTTATTGTAATTCGGCTCCAGGATCCAGACGTTCTTGAAGACATAAATAATGACACCTCTGGCAGAGATGCAGGACAAGCTGCCTTCCTGCAGCTGGGCTGGGGAGGCCAGGCACCCACAGCCTGAGTCACAAGAGGCTTTCCCTGCCCTTGGTGCCCACTGCTCCCCATCAGGCCCTTCCTGTGGTGCTCCCCTTGAAGCCCCGGGGAAAAACTTGGCCCCAATAACCAGAAACCAGCCCCTGCCCCTTGGGAGCAGGAACTGGGCCCCTGACACCTGACCTCCTCCTCGGGGGCTTCTTTTTTATCCTCTATGTCTTGGATTCACAGGCCCCAGCCTGTTTCCATAACCCAAATCCATGTGAGGAAACCACAGCCTGCCAGGGTCCCCAGAAGGATCTTTCCAAAACACATACCTGGTCACTCCCTGCTCAGGAACTTTCTGTGGCTTGCTCAGCTTGGAGAACAAAGCCCAACTGGTCCAGCGGCTAAGGTGCAGACCTTTTAGCATCCCACTGAGCCAGACCTGCCAAGTTCCCGTTCTCCTTCCTTCCAGCCCACCCTTCATCCCTCCACAGCTTGGCAGACCACCTTTTCCCAGTGAACTCCTATGCATCCTTCAAGAACCTGCTCACACATCACCATTCTCACCTCCTGGTGGGTCTCTGGGAGGGTGAGAGGTGAAAATCACAGCCTCATCTTAGAGCTGTTGGGCTCCAACGGACAGCCCAGTGGTGAGGGTCATAGCATGCTTTGTCTCCACGGGTGGGCTGCCTAGAACCCTGCCCATGTCTGCACTTGGCTGAGATGGGCCTCCTGATCTCAGTTGGGCACCATGCCACCTACCGTCCAGGCCAGGTAAGGACACACATCAAAACCGGCCTGGCAACCGCATGGCCCACACTGGCTCACACTGACTGGGACAGAGGACAAGATAAAAGACCATGGGCAGAGGAGGGAGGCAGGGTGGGTAGGACCAAGGAGAAATGGCAACAGCTGCCCCTGCCCAAGCCAGGCTCCTACCTGCAAGATGTCTCTCGGAAGGAGATGTTCACATCCCAGTGGGTGTGGACTCTACCGGGAGAGAAAAGAGGGTTAGTGGCTCCATTACTGGCATAGAGACAGCAGCGGGGTGTGGGCCTGACTCTTAACATCCCACCAGCCAGAAGCCAGGGCAGTAATGAGGGTGGCACCTCATGCCCAGTTCAACCTGGTGGCAGCTTCCACTGAACAAACCCAAGGGCTTGAGATGCTCTGGCCTCCCAGAGATGAGGAGGAAGAGCATGCTGAACAGCCCCGGGCAACACCAGGCACCACAGCCCCCACCATCCTTACTCACAGACACCCAACCCCTAGGTGCTGGCAGGACGAGGACCATATCAGGAAACAAGCTTCTGGGAGGCTGTGGGTGTCAGCCCAGGTGGGTACCGGACCTTGGGTCTCTCTGCTTGCCAACCCCTACCCAGAAGTGACCATGGCATGGCTGAGGCAGAACAAGGTGCCAGGGCGCCAGTTCAGGAGAGAGGACAGCTTCTGCCTGTACCCCCGCCCCACAGCAGCATTCCAGAAGAGCCCTGGTCTTGGTGCCCCCTTCCACAGGAGCCTGAGCCTCCTGGCCCAGCTCTGGAATAAGTACCTTCTCTTCATGATCCGGACATGCGGATCATCCTCCTGCTTCAAGCCTGGCTGCCGTCCACAGGCTGGGCCACCTCCATCACTGTCACCATCACTGGCCGAAAAGCTGGGGTTCCGTTCCTTTTTCAGGGAGCGTGCAGGGGGCAGGGCCACTGTCCTTTTGTCTGCCAGCCGCCCCCGGTTCTGGGCAGGAGGAGGAGAACGTTAAGGCTAGGCTAGACATCAGCCTCCTGGGCCTGGGCCAAGGCCCAGGGGCCTCATTGCTGCAGGCACAGCCTGTGAGGACAGGAGAGTGTGGGCTGTTCTGCATGCCCAGCCTGAGTGTGGGTGCCCACACGGTGGCAGGGAGCCCTGGGGACGCTTGAGCTATGACCCTCAGCTCCTTCCCTGGGTCCCCAGAGTCTTCTGGGATTGTGCATACAGCCTGGGGCAGGGATCATGGGGCTGGTCCTGGTGGGTATGCAGTCAGGGAGCAGGTCCCTCTAAACGTGTCTGGCTGACATCCCATCTCCTGTCAGTCCTGAAAACTGACAGCAATATCAACAAGCAAAGTCACTTTTGTTTTTCTTTTGCAGTGCCGGTGAAACTAGGGCCTCACAAAACACTCTGCCACTGAGCGGCAGCCCCAGCCCCTCTTTGCTATTTTGTTAGCACCATGAAGAGCCCAGCTCAGGGGAAGTCTGTCTGAGACCGCTGGTCCCTTGCAAAATGCAGGTCTGGGATCCACAGGCCGCCTGAGAGCACTAACAGCCCCGACCCTTTGTTCCCCAGCCCTGATGGCTCGTTTCTCTCCTCAGCGCCCCCCTGCACCATGTGTAAGTGTGTGGCGCTGTGTATGCTCAAGCTTGGAGCTCTGCACCTGGCTCACACATTTCTGCACAGAGCGGTGGATAGGAGTGTGTGGCCCCAGTCCTGGCTTCCTGGCTCCAGGTCCTGCTGCCCCAGGGAAAAGAAAAAAAGCCGTTGATTATTTCCCAGTGTACAGAGGTTTTTTTCTTACTTGGTTAAGAGGCTGCTGGCTCAGAGGCTGCATGGGCTTTCAGAGTATCTACTTTCCTCTCCGTTCAGCCCTCCCATTGCCAGAAAGAGTTGATCCTCACCACACGCATGAGCTCAGTGAGGAAGGGGTCAACGAGGGTCCCTGCCCTAGGTCATCCAGGACCTGAGGTGGGCTGCGGCATGGAGTCCTGTCCTTGCAAGGACGCTTCTCTTCAGATTCAGCACCACATCATCTCCGATGCCTGGCTCTGCCCAGCTCAGCGCTCCCTCCCCCAGCTCTGGGAGCCACAGTATCCCCCACACCTGCCCTCACACATCTGCTGGGGTCTGCCCAGGATACCCTCTGTTTCCCTCTGTAACATGGTGAGGAGCGAAATAGCAATACAAGGGCATGGTGGCATGGGGCCAGGGCCAGCCCACAGGATGACAGGGTCCAGTGACAGCAGAGCACAGGGAGACGGCAGTGGTGAGTGCCCACCTATGCCTCGGCCTCTGTCAATCCATAGGTCTGGTATCATTTTCAACACCCCTTGGCCCCATGGCTCTGCCTTGTCCAGCCTGCCAAAGCCCAGTGCCAGGCATCTGGAGATGAGCTCTGCCCTTCTCCTCAGTCACCTATCAGCCTTAGGTGAAATACTCTCTTGAAAAGAAAAGGAGTATTTTCTCAAAGCCACCTGCTTCCCCTCTTTTGTGGCAGAAATACTCCCATCCAAACAGAAAGTAGAACCCAGACTAGGAGTAAACATCTCTCTGCCTCTCATCTGTGGGAAGAGAAGAGGGGGACACAGAGTCTATAAGACTGCTACTTGGAAGGGGGCCAGGACGGGCTGGCTGGGAAGGAGCCCAGGCTATATGCCAGTCTTAGCCCCATGAGGCACAGAGCTGGGCACAGGAACTTCCAGTCCCTGGTATGCCCTGAAAGCACCCTGGAAGGATAGGTCTGGGGTGGCTCTTGGGGGAAACTCTATGGGGGGGAGCATGCTGAGAACCCAGATGGCCACTCTAACCCTGCCCCAGGATGGGGAACACATGCCCCCCCATACATCGGAGACTTCGTCCCCACTGCTCAACAAATTTGAGAACCTGGCTCCTAACCAATAATTGACCCCTTCTGAAATGGTGAGAGTGGGTTCCAGCATGCACAGTCACATGCACACCATATTCTACCCCTGGAGTATCTGTGACTGTGAAGTGCACACACCTCTGAAACTGGCCACAAGGGTGGGTGGAGACAGCCTCTGTGCACCAACAGGTTGGGGCTAGAAAGGGGATCCATGGAGATTCCTCCAAGGAAGCGACCAGGCACAGAGAGGCAGGCAGGCCCAGGTCTGAAGCGCCCTTCATTCAGGCAGGTACCAGGGAGCTTCAGAAGGGCAGCAGCTCCATCCCTCTCTGCGCTTCAGACTGCCACTTGAGGTGATGGCAGATGTTGAGCTCAGGCCACCCTCTTCCCCTCTCTTGTGGCAGGCCTCAGGGGTGGCAGGTTGGAAACTGTGGGGCACTCCCATCCAAACAGAAAACAGAACCCAGACTAGTCTGAGGTGGGCACCCAGAGGATCCCGTCCAGTTCCAGCTGCCTGAAGGGGTGCAATGATGGAGAGGGACTTCAATCTTTTGCCCAGTAGGTATGCGACAGCGAGCAAAAGGTGCTTCTGCACACCTGCTTGGGGAGCTCTTGTACAGGTGCCCTGTGCTCCTGTAGACTCAAGTGTGTATGGCGGGCGGCTTGAGGCTGTGACTGTGGCAGACCAGGTGTGGGCTGGGCCTGTGGCTCTCCTTCCCCAGCCAGCACCCATGTGTCCAAGATTTCCCAGCCTGCTCAGCGTGCACCCTGCAGAGCCCACGAAGAAGCCAGGATACCCCACCACCAGGCCAAAGGGAATAAACCCAAGGTGGCAGCCTGGGCCCTCTCAGGACCACTGGTACCTCCACCCCTCCTGCTCCTTCCTATAAGAGGGGGAGTGCTGGGTGGATCTAGGAACAGCAGCCTCCACCCCCCCATGTCCCTAGAGGTACCCCACAGGGGGAGCTTCCTCTCTAGAGGCAATTTCCTTTTCAGATCAACCCTCTACTCCTCACTGCCTGGAGTGTCATACCTGCTCCCGAGGCCAGTGGGGAGGCCATAGGTTGTCTACCCTGGGTGGGGTTCTTGCTCTCTGGACACCTACAGGCAAAGACCCTGCCCCACCCAGGCTCCATGTCGTGGACCCTCCGAGGTCCAGACCCTTGCAGGGCAGCACTTCAACATTAGGAGCACCAAGACACACACCACTCAGGCTCAAGCCTTGGGATAACCCAGATGTGCAACCTGTCCAGCTATCACTGTTACACCTCAAAAGAGTCCTGCCCCAGCACCTCTCTCTGCTGAGCCAGATGACTTGGTGATCTCCAGCCCTGGGACAGGGAAGTCCCCAGGCCCAATGAATGACAATAACAGTGGGAAGACCCTGGAACCTGGAAGGCTTGAGGAGTAGCTCCAAGACACCCATGAGGGAGGCTGCTCAAGAACAGGCAGGACCCACCCTTCATCCAAACAGGAGAGGATCCTGTGACCCAGGGTTCCCACCCATTCCCAGGAACTGTCTGGAACAGCACAAAGCAACCCCACCCACCCCATCTGCCCTGGGAGGATTCCCTCCAGCATGCCCAGAGGGCTGAAGTTAGGACTCCCAGTCTTAGAGATCACCAGGCTCTCAGGGGAGTCCAGACATCCCAAGGCAGCTTATTCCCAGGTCTCACCACAGGCGAGGATATTCGACAGCCCGGGCAGTCGCAGATTGGAGGATGCACCTGCAGAATTCCCTTGGACATAAGCGTCTTCAGACTTTTTCCTGTGAGGAGAGCCGAGCACAGCTGGTGAGGGGCAGTCAGGGCATAGATGGAGCCTCTGGGGCGCAGTCACCGGCAAAGCCAGTCCCCACTCCCGGAAGGTGTATGAAATGCACACCAACCTTCCAAACCCACTGTCGTCCAACTTCGGAGCCTGCTGCCCGCCCCACCCTCGCAGACGAGCAGGGGATCTGCTGGGCTCTGAAACTCAAATCCTGGGCGAGGCCCTCCCCTGGTGGAGGGCGGCTTCCTCTCAGCCCTGGCGCCCCTCCTCCTGCCCCACCCTCTCTTAGCCGGTCCCGCCCGAACTGTGGCAGGGCAGTGGAAGGTCGAGCTAGGAAACTGGTGAGCGGCGGCGCGGTCGCGACCCAGGCCTGCGTCAGTCCCCAGTGCAGGAAAGGGCATCCACTGCGGAGCCTGAACTCCTAAACCAAACGCTACCGGGTCCCAAACTTCCCAAGACCCTCACCGCGCCAGACGGTCGCCGCGCTTATCAGGTGCCCCCGATCTGGCCCCCAAAGGTGTATTGTCGCACCTTTGGAGTCACCATCCAAACAGGCTGCCCCAGGTCTCGCTGACACTGTTCCAGCTCCGCGCGCCCACGCCCCGCCCTCCTCCCGCGGCCCCACCTACCCGCGCAGCCCCAACCAGTGTGCACTCGCACCCCGGCCGCACGTGCACCTCTCCACTCGAGCGGGAACCAGTGGCTCCGAGCCTGGGGAGGGAAGGCGTCCCTCCCAACCCGTCTCCCGACTTCCTGTAAACTTCCTCTGGGCCTGGAGGCCCAGGGGCTTCACAAAGACCTGCCGAGCTGAGGGAGCGCCCGCTCCTGCGTAGCTCGGGACCCCAGCACTCTGTGGCCCGAACTGGGCGGACAGTGGAGGCCGAGGGCGCTCTGCGGTGTCCACTGAAGCAACCGTGCCGGGCAGGCGGGGTGTGTGGGTCCCTGCAGCAGCTCTGGAGCTGCAGCGCCCTCTCTGGGCCAAAACCAAGTCTCCCCAGTGGCAGAGCGAAGGGCTCGGACCCGCGGGTCCCGAGTAGCGAAGGAGAGGGACGACGGCTTGCGCCCCCACGGCGGCCGCACCTTTGTGGCGGATGCTGCGCTTCCAGTCCTTGGCCGTCTCGCGGCCGCTGACGAACTGGAACTCGTTGGGCGTGAGCCACTCGCCGCGGTGGCGGATGGACGGGCCTTTGCTGCCCTGGCAGAGTTTCCGTACGTAGAGCAGAGCACGGTTGGCGCCGCACTCCACCTCGATGCACGGCTCACCGTTGTCCAGCAGCGGCTGGAAGTCCGCGGCCGCGGCGGCCGAGAGGAGCTCGAGGGCTAGCGGGTCTCGGGGCAGGTGGAGGTGCGGCGTGGCCTCGTGCAGGCTAAGGTAGGCGCGCGGGGGCCGGAGTGGTGGAGCCAACAGTGCTTCATAGCCTGCAGCAGCGGCCGGCAGCGAGGCGGCCGGGGGCAGAGCTGCCGCGGCGGGCAGCGGGGCCAAGTAGCCCGGCAGCGGAGGCAGAGGCAGCGCGGCCAGGGTCGGGTGGAAGGTGGCCAGGGCCAGGGCCAGGTCCTCGCGGCCCGAGAGCTCCTTTTTGACCGCCGGCATGGCGCGCGAGTGGACCAGCAGCCGGCTCTCGGTCGCCGGCGCAACTTATTTTGGCCCTGGCTGGAGTTGCGTCTCCGCCGGCCCTGAAGGCGCCTGGCCGCGCTTCCACCCCGCCCGCTACTGCGCCCTGGCACCCGAAGCCGCCGCCGCCGCCGCCGCCGCGCCGCCCGCCGGGCCGCCCCCGCCTGCTACCCGGCCTGCTGGAGGGGTCTCGGCGGACCCAGACATGGTGTTGCCAGAGCTGCTATTGATCACAGACCGACTCGCCCTGCGCCGCAGGTGCCCCGCGCTGGCGCTCAGTGGGGCGTCGGGAGTCCACTGGAGCCCGCGCCCTGGGGCAGTCCTGCTGCCCGCTGCGCAGGGCAGTGAGGAGTCGCGGAGTCGCCAGGCCCGCTCCCCGCCCTGCCCGGGGGTCCCAAGCTCCCGCCCCGCCCCGCCCTGCTGCCCAGCCGCGCACCCGCGTCCACTGGCGCGCGCCCGCCTGGCGGGGACTTGGGAGACTCCCGCCGCCGCCGCCGCCGCTGCCGCCGCCGCCGCCGCCACAACTTGGCCCATTTAAACAGCCCCGGCGCGGCGGGCGGGCGCGGGCTCCAGCGGGGGGTGCGTGACGGTCGACTGAGTTTGTGAGGCGGGACAGGGCTGCACCCCGCCCCACCTCGGGTCAGAGCACAGAAGGGAGGGAGACCCTGGGGAATGCACGCGAGCCAGATGGGGCACCAGGTCACTGTTGGGTCTCAGGCTCGAGTTTGGGACCCCCTGTGGGGCAGCTTGGTTGGTGGCTTTTCCCAGGGTGGATGATCCAGCTTCCCTGGCCCCTCCAGTGTGTGAGCCTGTGGCTCTGGGTAGGAGTGTTTGCAGGGTGCTTCTCTTCGTGTACAGAGTGTGAGGTTGTGGATTTGTGGAGAGTTTGAGTTCTGTGCATAAGGATAGAAATTTCCTGTAGTGCACTTGTTCACTCTTGAGGTTGTTTTTTTTTTTTTGTTTTGTTTTTTAATCATCCCCATTTTATAGATTGGGAACCTGAATCACAGAAGCCAAGGAAGCTCCTGATGACACACAGCTGTTTTAAATCTAGGATGTCTGCTTTCAGGACAGTATCAGCCATGGTGTGGGGCAGGAGTAGTTGACTGAATCAGAGTGGGGATGAGGAAGGTGACAGCTGGCAAAATGAGTGTGCACACCACTAGGAGGGGGTCTGAGAAAGAGGCTTCTGATAGTCCATGCCCACTTAGGTGTTCTGGGGGCAGGTCAGTCTGGTGATCCGCCTTCTGGTTAGCCCCCCCCCCCCCCCCCCACACACACCATTCTGCATGAACTTGGAGTTTCTTTTTAGGAAAAGAAACTGAGAACTGCCCTGGAGCTTGGAGCTGGTTACAGTGACTTGTCTTTGGTGTGTCATGTTAGATGCACCAGAAGGTGGTCTCACATCCCAACACAGAATCCCAGCCCGGTCCCTGACCCCCTGAGACACTCCAGCAGGGCATCCCTGGGAGCCTCAGGTGGACCACAGGCCTGTTTGCACAGTGCCTTCTAAAGGGGGAGGGAGGCCTGGGTGGGAGTGAGGGACAGCTCACCATCCCCTTCTGGAGCAGACACCAGCCCAGCTGGGCTTGGAGTGGACCACTGGTGACCACTGTGCTTCTGTTACCAACTCACCCACAGCCAAGGCACCAGCCGGGCCCACGCTGACCTGGGAGTGAGGTCTGGGTGGGATGTGCTGTGCTTAGACCAAGAATGTGGCATGCCTGTGCCCCAGACCTCCCTCCTGCCCTTCAACTGAGGCTACTACTGGTACATCATCTGCTATCGTCTCAGGGGCCAGGTGGGAACGTGGCCTGCCCCTCCTTTCTTTATTACCCTTGGGCCCCTCACCCCTCCTGCAGCCTGGACGCCACCCCGTGGTGTGCCTTTCTCTAAGGCACAATCTGCCTCATAAGAGGCCATCATGATGGTGGGTGGGTGTGCCACACCTGGAGAAGGCTGGCCCTGCGTGTCCACTGCCTGGCGCGGCAGCCCTGACCCTTCTATCCCTCCCTGCCCCCCCCCCCCCCCCCCGCAGGTTCGTCTTGCTCAGCATGTGTTAGAAAGCTAGGAGGACCTATCTTTGGGTTTCTATCTGGTCTGGGGACCAATCCAAACCCCATGCCAGTCTTCCCCAGGATTTCTTCCTGAAACAAACCCGGGATCGTCCAAAGCTGGGGGACCAACACCTCACCAGCTTCACAGAGGGGAACAATCCCAGGGTGGTCCTGGGAAGCAGAGTGTCTTGCCCCAGGATGGGATCCTCACCCTTGACCTCACACTCAGGTACATCTGTGTCCTGGTCTGGGGCACTGGGCCTCACCTTCCTCTGTGCTTCTCAGACAGGAGCAAAGGACTGAGTTTTGGCTCTACAATCGTCCCAGTCAGGCAGTCCGGACCGGCGGGAACGACGGCGGCAAAAGCCAAAGCCCCACCTCCAAACCCGCGAGGCCCCGCCCGCCCTCCACTAGGCGCCACACCGTCGCTGCTCCAGGTTCCCCCGCGCTGGGCCCTCCGCCGCTGGGCTGAGGCCGGAGCCGCCTCTGCCGCCGCCGGCAGGGGGAGGAGGGTCATAAATAACCCGCGGGCAGCGGAGCAGACTGTGACCCGAGACGTCCTGGGGGAGTGCGGGGGCGGCCGTCAGCACTTCTGCCCCCAACCCCACTGCGCCAGACTTGACCCATCCTGGAGTGCCTGCTTCTTAAAGCCCCCTTTTTATCCATTCCTTCATCAGTCAATCAACCATTTATTGAGCGCCAGATGTGGTGTAACCCCAGGAAGAGACTACCCAGAGAAGGGGTTGTGGGAAGAGAGATGCAGGGGAAGAGTGAGAGCACAGGTGTAGAGTCGGAGGAAGTGAGGATGGGCAGAGTCCTGGCCTGCCTCCCGGCTTCTCTGCCTGAGCTCACCAGCTTCTTCAATGAGGGGGTGCTGCATGGGAGCACACCCAGACCCACCAAGAACGGGGGGACATGCAGGGACTGAGCTTATGGGCCACAGGTGTGGCTGACAATGAGCTATGAGGAAGCACACCTGTGTACACAGCTGCCCAGCCACCCACAAATGCATGCATGCTCAAAAACATACAAAGAGCAACCACAGGTGTGTCACACCCATGACTTTCTGTGTGCCAGAACAGTAGCTGCTGAGCCTGTATGCATCGGACAGGTTCATGGAGCACACAAATCCTCAAATGCTTCCCACAAGCACCAAACACAGGCAGGATGTGTGCTAAGAGATACAGATCACAGATATCCCAAGACTGGGACTTGAAACACAGGCACAGATGGACCCAGGTCCACATGTTCACCTGCCAAGGCAGGGTGTCAGGCACAGGTGACACCCAGTTGGTTGCACTATTGGTCTAGAAAGAGTTAACCTGGAAGGTCAGGGGTTAGAGGTTAGCCAGATGAGGCTCCCTCAGACATTCCTGCAAAGTAGCTAGAAACTTCAGGAATGTGGCCCTTTCAGACCCAGGGAGAGCTGCCCTGCTGGGACACCTGGGCAGCTAGCTGTGAGCTGAAAAGAAGCCATGCTATGTCTCTCAGCATGCAGGAAGGTGTT